AAGTTTTTCATACAATGATAATGTATCTATGACATCGGCAGTTCAGATAATTGAGCAACTTTTCAGATAGAAAGGGACCTACTGAGGAACATGGCTAAATCAACTCAGTTAGTCACGCTGATCATTTATATATTTCTTTTATAGGATCCCCGCGTTACCTTCTGGCTGTTACAAACTTCCTGGCACTCTTAATATACCCTGTATACGCTCGATATACTCGAACGGCTCTAAAACCTTGCGATGAACAGTTATCTCCAACGATCTAAGTGCTTTATTATCTCGGTTCGTCATCGTCCATGTTTGCGCGCCGAAAAGTGTAACGAGACTTATAGAGCTTAAATTTTGTTTATCGAGAGAAGGATCTAGTACTCAATTGCCTACCGATCCTAAGGTCAGTAGCACCTGTTGGTAAGATTTATACTGGGCTTGATCTCCAGGTTTAAATTGTTGGTGGTATTTATGTTGATTCCCAGCTTGACAAAGTCCATCACTTTTTCAAGTTACCAACCCAGAAATCTTTATGTTCCGCCCCCAGGTACTCTTCGCTCCTTTTTCTAGGCTAGAAAAGGCTGCGCTGTTTGCTCTGGTTCCGATTAGCTCTTTTTTCAGTATTATTTGAAGAAGATGCCTGAGCGAAATTCACGCTCAAAACCTCGTCTGGTATCGAAAACGCGGGGAAGCCTAGATATAGACATGGCGTCGAATAGGCAGCTCGTGTCAGTGCCGCAAGTGAAAGCGGCTTTAAAATTGACAAATAGGTGATGGGTATCTTTATATTTGCCAATAGTCATTTCCCGGATATGCCGTGTTCTAAAACTCGTGTCTATGAGAGACTAATAAACTGACATAAGCTAATATAAATAAAATAGCAAGAAGTGAGTATTCATATAGTTTACAGAGTTAGCAAGAAACTTTCTAAATTGTTGATAACAGTATATTCTACTTACTCTTGTCTCACTTTTCTCTAAAAGGCCCAGCCCCCAGGTAAATAATTCTATATGATGTAATATGTGTCTTAAGTGAGGATATAAATCTAATTAACATGTTTATATTTTGAATCAAACAATGTTTCCGAGGCGAAACTTCCATTCTATTTATTCTATTTAGCTTTACTAAATTAATTACATAGGGGTTTTTAAGTTTCTTAAGCCGTGTTTCTTGCAAAATGCATATTTCTTGTGTTATTACTATCATGCAAAGAGTTTGTCTTACTGCAGAGAAATAGTTTGTATAAGAACAATTTTTACTAATTTACTAGATTACTACATGGACAAAACTATTTCTTTTTCGCAAGGACCTTTTCACAATATCTGTTTTTTTGTAAACAAAAGAGGTACTTGAAGGTTTTAGAGACGTACTAAGTAAAGATAATCAGACATTTCTTATTGCGAGAAACATTTCGGCTGGAATTTCGGTTATAGGCCGCTGAATGATGTCTCGAGCTCCTCGAGTGTTGCTGATTGATTGGTGTAAAACTTTCATTTAACATACTCCTAGAGAAGTTAATCTAAATTCGTTAAATCGCATGATCTTGGTGACCATTTGACCGGACCATTTCTCGAAATTAACGAGTCGTCAAAATCTGTACCAAACAGTAAACTTTTAGGGATGTAATTGCGTTTTCTGAATCACACGAGCCCAATAGCGACAATTTTGTTGGTTGGTGAAGTCATTAAGTCAGAATTCCGTACAGCTGTTAGATCTGTGATTTCGCCAACACTTAAAAATTAGAAGTACCCGTGCCTCCACCTAGGATCCCGTGGTGAAAAAAACAGTAATCTTACACACCAAAAAAATGAGTCACTTTATGGCTTCCTTAGACCGGACCTCATACTTTATGTTCTAGAAAAGACGTCATATGACCTACACTAGATGTATTGGTGTTTGAAGGTGTATCGTATCCGGAATAATAGTTTTATGCGACTAACTCGCCTCTCATATTTTACCATTCAGTATCGAACAATCCACGAAGAAGTTCAAATTTTAATTGCTGTCATACGTTACGACCGAGTATTTAATTCAATTCAAAGCTCAAAGATAACCAGAGCAGCAAATATAAATAGAGAGCACAAAAATTTACTCTAGTGCTTTTAAATCTGTTTGAAAATTGTATGAAGAGTTATTACTTGCTTGAACCTAGTTGATTGGGTGTTTCCAATAATAGTTATCAGCAAATATTTGTAGCATTTACCATAAGTAACGAATTATAACATCGTAAACAAGCGAATAAAATAATATATTTAGAATGTGATTTTGCTCAACCAATTCAGCACGTTGCAAGTTCTGTTGTCCTGTGAATAACTGATAACAATAAATTTCCAACTGTACTTGTGCGGCATCAATTTCATTCATTCTCATTCAGACAAATACAAAAATATTGCCAGCCGTCACTGGTAGGTATGAATGGAGGAAGCATAAATTTAATAACAGGAAATGTTTACTGCAGAAAGCAGAGAGCAAAGCGTGTAAAAGGATTCAAATCATAGAAACAGTAAAAGTCAAGAAGTTTACAACCAATCGTACAACTTTAGTGAATTTACGGTAACTCTTTCGCGTCAAACGAATTGCTGGTGCCTTGCCATGACATCTCGCACGCTGGCGTCTGTCGCTGTCGAACACTGTGAAAGCGTAAGATCGAATTTTGATTAATGATTTTTTAAAATCAACGATAAAAGGATTTTTCTTTGCCTTATGCCAACGCACCGACGACTGTGAATTTGTATGCGAGTTCGTGGAAGTAACTCGGAATGCACATGTGTACGTTTCGGAAGGATGATAACGTGCAAATAAATATGCGTACATGCTACAGTGTTGTGAAAAATGTTGTCATGTTGATTTGGGTTGAAAAAAATTTAAATTGCTTTCTGTGTGCTGTTCAAAATTTCATATATTAGATAAATAAGGACTAGAGGATTGAGAGATTGTTCTGATTTCTTCCATTTTAGGCTATCCGCTTGCCTGGTATTAAAAAAAAATTCTTTCTGAATTTCATATTCTTATATATTAAACGATAAATGCGGTATAAAGCCAACCGGAAGTTCGAAAATATTTATGTTAGGTATGTAGGGAAAAACTCATCCGATTTTAACCATTTTTGACACAAGGAAACGCTGACATTACAAAAATAGTCTCCCCAAATTTAAATATAAGCTCTCACAGATTGATCGTTATGTTCAGTAAATAATCAGCCATATGCTTTGGGGTCCACATATTTATATGTGGTTGCTTGAAAAGTTATAGTCCGATTTCGATAATTTTTCATCATTAGTTGAAATACCTTAAGGTCACTATTTGTACAAAGTTTAATTATAATAACCTAATTGATGTTTGATTTGTATACTATAAAATGGGAAAATCTGATGGAATTTAAAAGTTTGTTATATGGTAAGTGGTCGCGGTTGTCATCCGCTTTCGCTAATTTTCAAAGCATACAATAGAAATTTTTGGATAACCTCACACATTAAGTTAGTTGAAACTAGTCAAGTAGTTCCTAAAGAACTTTTAGGAATTTTTACATCTTCCCTGCCATCAATGTTTTGAAATTTATAGATAGATAGATGGAAAGTGGGCGTGCGTACCCATTTTCACAGTGTATGAAAAAGTGCTGAAGAGACTTCTTCTCAGCAAGTTTGGTTTATTTAACTTCAGCGGCTTTGAATATATGTACATTTGCTGTCGCGGCAAATTACCGATTCCACTCAATTGCAACACCAACCCCAACCTTAGGTGCCGAGGAACACTTGTACGAAATTTGGGTATCCAAACTGGTTTACTCTCTGTTGCAACGTGTTGCGAGAGAATAAAAATTCGAACACGTGGTAGCTTTTATCAAAAATATTTTCAACTACAAACTTTTCTAGTCTTCTTCAGTAAAGACACATATTAAATGTTTTCTTTGTTTTAAAATTATCTCACAGTACCTATGTCCATATATGTGGTAACCGTCTAACTTATATTAATAGTTATTTTCCCCTCTCTGTGGTGGCGCTTTGCTATTTGTGAACAAGACGAAGTTTAAGTAATCTCCACAATTTTTTTTTAATTTTTACTAAAATTTTATGCATTGAGTTAAATTTCCAGAAATAAATCCAAACAAATACCAGGTTTCTTAAAGCTATATATAAAGTAGGAAGAAGAGGATCCTGATACTCACATACTATGCCTTCATCACTTACTGACTACGCCTGAGCTTATTATGTAATTTTTTTCGCACTACTGTACATTGTGAAGGCCATGCGTACATACCGTGTGCGCGCTTATAGGTAAACTTGTATCAATACACACATACATATGTAGTGGCATAGGTACAAATATGCGTACTTATCCTTGACGGCGCAAAGTCGTATCGTTTTATTTATGACAATCATTTATCACGCTGCCAAACGAGTGCGAGAACTCAGTGGCTAAGTGAGTGAGCTGTTTTTCTGAAAAGAAGTGAATTGTAAAACACAGAAGGAAAAGTCGATAGAGTCTCCTGAGAAGACGAGTGGGAGAATAATGTTTACTGCCACTTTGGACTAAATGCTGAGAGTGGTCAACACAGTGGTAGAGTAAATTAAACACTCACTCTTCATGATATTATTGCCTCCACGTAATAATTATTATTTTGGTAAATCACGGCTGGATCTCTAATGTTGTTAAGGTTCAGGAAAGACTACGCACGAAAAAAGTGTTAAGGTGCGAGTGTTTCATACATATTTTTCGACGCTGTAACTGAGCAACGAATTTTGCAATCCAACTTGAACTAGTGCGCCTCTAAAAGGAATTGGTGCTCAACAAAACCGAAACCATTTCGATTTACTGCATCAATCACCATTGAAAAAGTCGAACATTTTTGTGTACGCCTGTGAGCGCAAAAGTTATGGACAGAAGCAGAGATTACGCATATCCTTGCTGATATCCGCTTTTCAGATTTCTGCGTATTTTTTTGTGTAATGGTATTAAAAGAAAAAACACACACAAAAGTGAAAAAAAACGGTGAAAAATATGTAGTCGCTTACGTTTCACGCTTTTGAAGATTTCCATTTCGCGTATTGATTTTATTTTGTTAACGATGTTTGCTGCTGTTGTTGTTTAAGGTGATTTTACCATAAAAGTGAACTGCACGCCAGTACTTAAGTCCTGTCAAATCGAACTCAATGGCGACGGTCATCTGTCAATCACAATATGCGCTCTCTGCATGTGCTCAATATGAATTTCATCCGACGGCAACTATCAGTGGTAATAAAGAGACAAAAGAGAAATGTGGGTAAATATTTTTCAATTTTAAAGCATTAGTCAAACTCTGGAAACAGAGTTTAAAGCACTCGGCGAATATTAAAAAGTTATTAATTAATTTTCTTATCATAATCATATTATCTCTATAACTCTTGCCAACAGGTGCTACTTTGGGATCGGTAGACAATTGAGAAGCAGATCCCTCTCTCGATGAACAAAAACTACGCTATATAAATCTCTTACAATTCCCGTCAGATTATATGGCACAGAAGCAGGAGTGATCACGGTCCCAGATGAGAACGTACTCGGAGCGTTCAAGCAAGGTTTTTGGAGGTGTCCGAGTGAGCGATGAATATCAAAGAAGATGGAACTATTTGGAACTGTGTGGGCTCTACGGCGACATGTATAAAATTTAGAGCATACAAAACCAACAATGCGCTGGTTAAGTCATGCCGCACGCATGGAAGTCGATGCTCCATTGAAACGCTTCTTCGATTTAAGACCCCCCCCCCCGCCCCATCCATCAACGTAAGCGAGGGCGCTCACGCGTCCAATGGAAGGACCATGTTAATAAGGATCTGTCTGCACGTAGGATGTACAATAGCCGTATCCTCCCAATGGATAGAGGCAACTGGCGAAGTTTTGTGTGATCGACCCGTGGTTGTAGTGCCAAGGAAGAAACGAAGTAATGGTGTTTATAGGCATAGATATCAAGTAATTAATCTAAGTCGCTCAATAATCATCTAAATTTGTTAACCGGAAAATTTCATATTGTAATAGTACATACATTAAAGTGTCTACTTGTTTCACCATGCTGAAGGCACTTGCTAACCTGCATTTTCCTAACAACCTTAAAAAGTTAGAGGAGTCTTTCTGTTGACTGATGTCTCCGAAAGAACAAATCGACGAAGATGTAATAACCACGCTAAGGGGGTTGGCTTTCTAGTACATGAATATTAGATGTAGCGTTGGAGACCAAATATGTCGCCATTCAGTTATTGTTGGAAAATAATAAAACTTTTCCCTAAATAAATTCGAGTAATGTTCCTGATGCGAATATGATCTATGACCAGATACAAATTCAGGGCCGTTTTTTGTTCGGACACTTGGTCGTGAACTGCTATTGACTTCGGAGACTGAACGCCTTGGAACAATTCGAAATAAGCCAAAGGTTTTACACATACTCGTACTATAGGTATATAGTCCTGACTTTTTTTCCACATATCGGCGAAAAATGAGAGTTACATAAGTACTGCAGAGTTACTAACAGAAGATCTGAAATCCATCGTAGAACTAGAGTCATTGGGTTCTGTCTATATAAGGTATACAATACAAAATTAACATTTTATTGGCCTATGATTAATAACACCAGAACTTAAGGTGTTTGAGAAAAATATTATGTTCTTGTGAATTAGCGATTACTATGACTTTCTATACTACGGATAAGAGTTCCTTGCTCATAAAAGCTTAAACTGACGAAATTTACGACTATTTGGTGCTAGGAGTCTTTCAAGCACACTTATAAAGGTGTAATGGTTTTTTTTCGAAAAAGACTTTATTTTGAAAAGAGCTTTAGATCCGCGTCATTTTCTAACATACGTATTAGCTGGAAACCTGTGTTCTATATCTTCCATTATTTCCTATCCTGCCCAAACAGCAATTTAATGATTCATGAAGGTGTATAAGTGCACACATGCATATTTATTTATATTCTATTTATATGCGTCTTCTCAGTCTACCAACAGTCAATCCCTTGCCACAATCTCGCACCTCTTATCATAGCTTGGGCTGTTGGACGTTTCCTGCCCGTAAAGTGGCATACTTTAAATGCGAAACGTTTCGTTCGTCATTCATTTGCGACAGCGTCGGCTCGTGTTGTCTGATTGCTGAAGGCGGGATGTCCACTCCGCGAAATTCGCGCAACGGCTTTGCCAGTTGACATTGTTTAACATTTGTTGTTCCACTTGCTGTTGCCAATAATCAATCAATATATATATATATATATATACACCTCTCTACCAGTCGCTGGGGCTGTTCCAAGAGAGCAATTCTTGTGTTGTCGAATGCTCGTCGCTCATAAAATCAATACACTTTCAGCCAGCAATTTTTATTGCAAACTGTTTTATTGTGTTTTATTGTGTCTTGTCGTTTATTGTTATTTATTTATTGGATTTTGTTGTATTTTACTTTTATTTTTGTTTTCTTTTCCGTTAACTCAGTCCATTACTCACTTGTAGTTGAGCTTTTGCGCGTGTTGCAGTTAAAAAGTGTGGCCTTGTTGAGCATTCATACGAAATTTTGTGCAAAAAGGCATTTCATTGCAGCTCTACATAGAAAAAATGTAGTATGGGTACAAACGTACATAAGTATATATATGAAAAACTCTTATATTTAAATACACCTCTCCAATTGGCTATCAAATTGTCAAATAGATTTTTTTTAGATAATATGGAAAGATTATCTCAAACTAAACTATATGTGTGTATATTTAAAGTTTGTGATTTCCTGGCGGCGCTGAGTTTTGATTCATTCATTATATTTATATAAATATACACATTTATATATATATATACATATTCATCCTCAAATTGAATTCGAAAGTATACATTTTTTGTCATCAATTCAGCAACGCTCATTTACTTGAAAACTGTCTGAGATATAAGATGTTGGAAACTGGCTAATGAAAATAGTAATTAAAAAGAGGAATATATCAAGATCAAGAGTCTAACTTTTTTATGATGTTCTTCAATTATTCAGTTATGCGATAAACAGAAACTTGAAGGCAGAATGAATAATTTGTGTGAGGATTGTTATGGGGTATTTCATTACATGGAGAGTGTTCCTTATTAAAATGGTAAACGAAGTTTCAATATATAATATATCTTATATTCTTATAATGTTTTGCACTGTTGTTAAAAACGGCTAAAAAGAATCGATATCTGCTATATATACATATTACGTGTAGATATTTCTATATACAAAAATTATCAGAATGACGACACGAAATGATTTCCGCAAGTCTGTCGGTCTGTATATTTGCCCGTCTTTTCGACCGTCAGCCTGTACGTTCATCATGTCCATACAATCGATAAACTGAGTGAACATAATTATTCTTTATCCTTAGGATACGTCAAAATAAGTGGAACTCAGGTAAAATAACGCCCAATTTTAAAATAACCATTATGCATATATTACAATATATAAAAGATAATTGTGTAGGGAATAACATCAGAAATATACAATAAATGAAAGATTTTAATAAAAATATAATTTCCGTATAGAAGACGTATGGTATAAATGCTGCTCGAAGCCAAATCCATAATGAAGTAAGTATTGCCAGTTTGTTTGAGCAGCTGGTATAGTTTGTTGCGTTCACTTATCTCCAGAGCTTAGCGAATTGAAGACAGCTTGGTCTTGGACTGGTCTACAAATCTTTTATTATTGAAATATAACGTTATCTTAGCTATATCCAAGATAAATTTTATCCTCATATATTTAATGTAAGAAGCCAAACATCAGCCCCAAAATAAATACAACCCAGTGTCCTTTTTATACCATCAACAGGGTATATTAGACAAAATGAAACGTCGGAGTAAAATATATGTACATACTTGTATAAATAATCAGCGTGACGAGCTGTGTCGATTTGGTCTTGTCCGTTTGTATATACCAGAACAAGTCCCTCAGATACTGAGATATCCACCTGAAATTTTACACACGACCTTTTCTATTAAAGACGCTGCTCATTTGTCGAACCGCTAATATTGGATCATTATAGTATATAGTTATAGTATATAGAAGTTATATCCTTACAAAATTTAGCAGAGATTATTGTCTAAGGCAAAGGTACAATAACCAAAGAAATTGTTCAGGTCGGAAAACTATAGCATATAGCTGCAATATAAACTGATCGGTCCGAATCAAGATAAATATCCTTTTATAGCATTTTATAGTAAAAAAAACACCTACCTGTGAAGCGTATTATAGCATCGGTGCAGTCAAAGTTCGTTTTTTCTTGTTCTTTTCAATGTTATTTGAGAGAAGATTGCTTATACCTGATATTAAATCACAATATTGATGGCCGGATTTTAGGCGCATAGATTAAGCCACGCATTGCGTGCCTGACTTCCATCAAAAACCACACAACAAATCAAAATACACCGAGCAACAAATCATTGCTTTAAAAACCTGCTGTCATACTCACCTCACCTCACAGCACATGTCACAATTACAATTTTCAGAAATATATACACATGTAAATATGTACAATACATATATATGTATATATGTATGTATGCTTATGTATGCAGTTAATATATACGAAACATAACATATATACAAATGTATGTTCACTTGTTACTGTTGTACTCGTCATGCATGTAATAAGTCTACGCAAATAAAAGTAAATCTGCACGTATGTATGTATGTGTGTTGCGTGCACACGCTTGCCGCATAATTTTGATGAATCGCAGTAGGACACATTTCGCCTTGTAATTGCTAAATGAGCGTGTTGTTTTTGTCATTTCGTTGGAGCGCAGTTTTTTTCTTCTTTTAGTTTATTTGCAATTTACTTGCTCATTCATTTCTTTTGCTTAACGGTTTCCTTCATACATATACTATGAATGTATAAGTGTATGTGTAAACGGAATATTATTAAAAGGCCCTGAGGGGTGTGGGTTGGTAAAGTGGTTACCAGTGGTTTTGTGTGGAGTGGATGTTGAGCCAAGTGAATACAAGACCAGAGGCGTACCAACAATAACGGTATTTATGTTGAGCACATGTAAAATGAGGGAATCGCATACACACATAACTGTATGCTCACGCATTAATCAAAACACATTTATTAGTCTATTTGCTTTGTACTTCATACACATATATACATGTATATGAAAGTTATACATAAATACGTATGGGTATATGTGTATGTATTTATACAGCAACGCATATTTACTCCCATTTATCACCATTAGCTGGTGATATCCCAACATGCCCTT